CCCCAAAACCCCAAAACCCCAAAACCCCAAAACCCCAAAACCCCAAAACCCCAAAACCCCTTATAGTATTTTGTATATGGAAATATAGTTTATTTAATATTTTTATCTGAAGGTTCTAGTATTGTTTCTTAAAAAAAAGATTATTTTTGTTACAACTATATTTCTGAACTTGATTTCTAGGCCACCTTATCATTCATATTCGAGCTCAAACATGGATCAGAGCTATCAATGCCAGAATGCAATCTTGGATTTATTAAAATTTGGCTGAAGGTCGATGAAAAATAGCTAATATAATACTCAAAGAACCATTGGTCGAAGCTATAAGGTTAATTCAAATCCTATGACTAAAGTCTTACTGGTGAATCATAATGGCCTTCCTCTCAGTATTTGAGATCTAGACATAAACAACTGAATTACTGATGATGTATTCTTCTTGCTAGAGGTATCGATTACTATAGGTTATGAAAATAGCTTACCTTCCTCCTCCGATTCATCACCTGATTTTGCCTTGATTTCTTCAAATATGAACTTATTTTTGCTCTTCAGGACACTCTTCAAACGGTTGGTGTATTTTCTACCGTTCAGATCATGATCGCTCATGTCATTTAAGTTCTTGTATTGGTTGTTCCTTCTTCCAAAGGATTTCTAAAATTATACTGAATTATGTACCTTTGATTCACTGAAGAGTAACTCTTTGTCTTCAAGAATTGGGACAAGAGTTTTGTTACATATCGGTACTAAGTTTTGATGGAAAATCTCTTTCAACTCAGTGTAGAATTTCCTGTCTTTATTCTTTACAGAATTATCATAATATCTGATGAAGACTGGCTTGTCCTTGTAAATCAATCTGTACATTATCACAACTGTGTTTCCGTCATAGTCTGGGTAAGTTTGCTTTAGTTGTTCTCTGCTCAAGTTTGTAGTGATTAGACTAGCATCTTTGAAGTCTCGCAAGTAATCATACTTGTCACAATATTTTGCAAATGCTCTTTTTGGTGGAGGAGGTGGGTTATCAGCATACCTTCTCAGATAGTCTTCAAAGAATATCTCCCATGCCTTCTCGGTTCTGGAGATAGACCCTGAGTCAATGAAGATAGCGCCTATTATAGACTCAATAATATCTGCAAGCATCTTTATGAAGTAGGGATCAGTATCTTCAATTGTAATATCTTTGCCTTTTTCCTTTAAAATTTGCTCGAAGCCATCAATCTTATCCTGGTTCTCTGTTTTGTGTCTGATCATTGTATGAATACCTGAATCTACACACATGAAAGCAAAAAGAGCATTTTTCTCAGCGTGGGTTTTAATAAACTTCAATCTTTGGATCGGAGTGAAGTTCACTTCCTTCATCTTCAGATAATCATCCCTTTTCCGAATGATTCTCTTACAGTTGAAAAACTTAAGGATGCTATCTCCAAGGAACTCCATTGTGTTATAGTCATTATTAAGAGCACTTTTAGTCTTAAAACTCTGTGTTTTATGCGTAAGTGCCACTACAAGAATTTTTTCATTGACAAATTTGTATCCAGTGAGCTCTTCAATCTTGTTAGTCCAGCTATCAACAGTCTTCTGGTCTTCTTCTATCGTGATTTCGCTAAATTCCTCTTTGATCTCTTGAAATCTCTCTTTATCATTGAAGATTTCTTCTTTGTCTAAAGTTGGACTGAAGGATCTTACCCCATTCGTTCTTAAATACTCTGGAGATGTACTTGGTGAGCTATTTTTGAGTGATAAGAACTTACCCCAACCACGTTCAAGAACTTGCTGGCTGTCTGTAGCCCGCAACAGTTATAAAGAGCGCCTATAAATGCTTTAAAGCAAGTCGCTAGCTCATTATGCTTGATTAGTTTATACAAGTTCTTGGAGTTTCTTTCTAAAATTTTCCTCTTCTTTTCAGGGGTTGGTAACTTCAAATCGTCTTTTCTAAAGATATGAAGTCAATACTTACTCATTTATTTCCTTATAAAGTTCTTCGATGAGTTCTTTGTAATCTTCTTTGTAGTTCATTTTGCTTACTCAGTCTATAAAGTCTTCTTTTTCCTTATCCTCTTGTGCCTCCTTGTGCTCTTTTCTGTAGGCCTCAGCCTTGTTTTCGAGACCAGATATTATCTCCTTAGCATTTTCAACGTTCTCAAAGGTGTATAACTGAGAACCGTATCTGAAAGAGAGTAGTGGGGCACAGAAGAAATTGAATAACTTATAGCCAGGTCTCACTATATAGTCATGCAAATAGCAATAATTTAATGGAAAATTGAATAAATCATCATAATCCTCTTCTTTCTGATCATTTGCAAAATTTTTATTGTATATTTCAGCATCCTTGCATAACTCTATCAGCTTTCTAGAGCTCGAGTTTTGGATTCGTTCGGTATCAATATCATTTTGGTTGTTGCTGATATCAGGTTAAATGAGAAGAAATTAAAATCTTCTAAAATCCAAAATTGAGAACTAGTCCTAAGCATTCTTTAGTAGTTAAATTTTCTTAAAGTATACCAAGAATGAACCCTGTTGGACAGATTATAGTAAGATTTAGCTAATTTAATGCTTTTGGTCAAAATCTAAAATGTTCTAATATTTCAGACAAATTTAAAGTGTTAGATTTAAACACATACTTATTTTTGTACATCTGTTTCATGATCAGATCCCAAGCAAGCAGTACAGAGATAACTCCATCACCCAAAAACTCAAGGTAGTTATTATTTATGTATTTATCAATCTTCTCTGGAGTGAGCGATTCCTCAATGTTATCAATAAGATGTTCGAAATGCATTGCTTTCAAGGCTTCACCTATGCTTGGGTCGAAATTGAAAGCTCTATCTTGGTATTTCTCTCTTTTCCTGAAGTATACAGGAGGCTTAAGCTTCTCATGATCAATATCTAGTTCGTAGGTGACAGCCTAGGGGTCAGCTGAAGTATACCTTGTATCATTTTCTTCTATTACTCTGTCTTTTCTCTACTTCATGCTGGACTTGTTTGACCTCACAGATATTCTTTAAAAATATTGTGACAAAGTCAATATAATAACATTTCTCACAGAATTTGACATAGAGAGGGAAAGTATAGTGATAGCCTTGATATAGAGACTGTTCAAAACCTCCCAATGGATCTAGATTTTTAGCGATTAGCCTACCTCTTTCATGAATCAGTGTTAGCTTTAATAGTTCATACGGGTCTAGAATAAATTAGTTATCAATTTACTGTCCCAGCAAGCTTCAATTTTGCTAATAAATAAGTTATAGAATTTCTGTATGACATCCCTATTGATAAATCCTTCCTTTTGAGGTACAATTAAGGGCTTGGCCCCATTGACATCAATGAATTCTGTGGCTGACAAGCAGATAAAATCGTTGAGCACATTGGAAATTTTATCCCCATTCAGTTTCTCCCTTAATTTGTTATAAAAGCTTTTGAACTTTGTGATAATCTCGATATCTAATTGTTTAAATGTAGCCTTACCAATAAGCAGTTCCTCATTTGCCTGAATGTCATCATCTAAAAATAAGATAAGGTTCTTACCTATTTCTTTGCAAATATCTTTTGCTTCAGGATTTTCCTCTTCAAGTGTTTTAATTTCTTCTTTCCATTTCTTTATCTCTTCTTCTAGTTGTTTTCTTTCAAAGATAAGCTCATTCTCAAAGACTAGCATCTTGGCACACAGAATTGCGTCTGTTAGAAAATAGAAGTAGAATAGTCCGACTGCATCTAGAGCTTTGAAATACATGAACAAGCTATAGAACTCCAAGTGGTAGAGATTGACCAATCTCTTTTGGGATGTTTTCTTTACCATCACAGTTTTGTACATAGTCGACTTTGCTTCAGGACTGAAATCATTCATGGCAGCTATAGACCACACTTCTGTATTGTTCTCTCCTGTTTCAACCTCATCAGTACTCTCCTTCTTTGTATATCTATAGAGTTTTTAGAATTCTAGAATGCAAAGGCTTTGGTAAGCACATACTTCTTGTCTAGCCAGATATCGGTAGCTATAGATCAGTACCAGAGTCTTACTGTAAAGAATCCCATGATTTATCTCAGCCTTGTCTTTACTCTCATGTAAGACACCCTTCGGGTCCTTGATTCTACAGAATGAGGCAGGCTCTTACTGGTGATAGATTAAATATTCTCCATCATGATATTGCCTGTGTTGAACATTCATTAAGAACTCATCTAAAATTTGTGAAGGATTCTTACATGTTATCTGAGGTAGAACTAATCCTCCAAAGTCCTTCACTTGGTCATTGTTATTAGTCTTATCCTTGTTGATCTTAGTATCAGCCATGTTGCTTGTCTGATGGACAAAATAACTTGTAGGAATCACTGAGAGGTTATTTAGAATTTTATTCTTTCCATTTATCTTATATACATTAAGCTCATGGATCAAGTTAGGAATCAAGTCTCTAAGAACCATGTTTTTCTGTACATCTCTCTCGACTGAGATAAGTTCTCCATCCAGACTCACGGTAGCTTTCATTCTGTGGGTATGATCGGATGGGGAAGAGATGTGCTTAATGTCAAAATCAGCTTTTTCGTAGTTTTGAGTGAGGTAATTCAGTATCATATTTTCAAATACTTTTCCTATCTCAGTCCACTGGACTGAGACATATCGGTTGTTTTCTTTCTTGTATACCCATATTCTATTGTATTATGAGGATACTTCCAAAAATGGTCGAAAAGAAACCTTTCAAAGTGTAGATAATTACAAATAAGATAGTTGTAGACTAGACTCTCTTCTTTAAAATTTAATAGGCTTACTTTTCTGCGCTATTTTTAATAGCCTGTTCTTTCTTCTCCTTGACTTCTTCTTTCGATGAAATTTGCGATTCAGAGTAGGTTGTGCCATAATATGTTTTCCTAAAGGATAACTAAGGTTGCTTACTTCATGATCCTATCAAGCCTGGATATCTTTCTCTTCAGGTCGGATTTTTGGTCATGAACAAAAGAGACATCAACATTAGTCTTAAGAATCTGAGGCATGAACACTATATTGCTAAACTTTGCAGGATCGAGTATCAATATCTTGGTGTCTGTATGAATGAACCCACTGTAGATTGAGTTTGAAATCAGCAATGTCTTTTCTCCCTCCTGAAGCGGATTTTGGGGAAACCCATCTACCTTGCTAAGATAGAAATACTTACCTTTCTGATTAGTCAGCAGAGTTTCGTTGCAAATATCTTTTAGGCAACATTCATAAAGACAAAGGTCAAAAGTAGTTCCATCTCTTCTGAAGTTATGGTCAATTCCAAGACTCATTTGCTCTGGCTTGAAGAATCCTTCATATTCAAAGGGTATTTTTGGATCAGACTCAAACTGACTATGACAAGCTGAGTCATTAAGCCTTGAGATGTAATAAAATTTAGCACTTATTTGCTTCTTCTTCATTTTTGATTTGAGCTCTTCATTAAGGATCTTACCAAGAATAATTCCGACTGTTGAAGACTCAGTCAATATAAGGGTTTTAATATCATCCTTCTCAATGTCATTCTTTAGCTCTTCTCAGATCAGCCTAACTTTATCAGAATGCATAGGTATTTTCCTTTGAATTGAGGACTCTCTGAATCTCATGACAATGCTGATATACAAGTCTCTTAACCTTTGGAGTAATCCTAACTGATAAAAATCATATTGGTCTTGTCGTCCATCATAGTACCTTAGGTTAGATCTATAGCCTTGATTTACCCTCTCTTCATAAACAGAATAGAGTCTCTCTATGACTTTTGTTGTGTAATCAAGGAGTCCATTTAAGCCTAAAGCTTCGTAGACTTGGCTTCCATAAATAGAGATCGATTTATTGAACAAGAACATGAATTGGAATACAGGTGGAGTCGTTTGGTCAATAAGATACTGAGAACTGGCAAGTATCTGCTGCCAAAGTTCTTTCTTTGGAAGTTTATAGCTATCCGGTGCTATCCCACTCTCAATGGGCTTGTGGTTCAAAGCATTAATTTCAGTGTCAATCCCATAAACTTGCTCAAGAATATGGGGATCCAATAGCACTATATTGATGATTAATTCTGAGTAAATACAATTCTTCAAGATAGCCAGAAAATCTAAATATGAGCCTTACCACTAGCAAGGGTTTCTGAGATTCCTTGTCTGATACTTCCGTAATCAGCCACTGGGGAAGTTTGCACCTAAAATTAATGAGAAATATTCCTGATCAATATGTTTCTGGTAGCTTACTTCTCATATGTCTTTGATTCCAACAAAGGCTGTCCAGAATTGTCTGTAACATACACCATTGTAGTCAGGGAATGGAGCCAGCATTGCGGGTTTAAAGATCCTAAAGATTGATAATTCATTGGAACGAGTAAACAAGGCAGAGTATTCATTATCGTAGTTTACAGTATTTTAAAGTTATTTCTTAATTTTGAATACCAAAGCATGCAACTTACTTCAACTGCTCCCCATATTTCTTGATAAGAGAGTTGTTCTTTGCTTTTTGTGATTTTTCTTTCTGGAATTGGTCTAGATATTAATCTAATCTCAATACCAATTTGAACTTCCAATATGTGCAATGCATGAGTGAATAGTTCAGACCAAAATTTAGCTTGGATAGATAGTTCCCATCGTGTATTCATGTTCATTAAATCAAATACAAATTTGATTCCTTCGCGGCCTCCTTTTCCCTATACCAGAATCAGCATGTCCAATGGCAAATCAGATTTATACCTTTTCTAATTGGGGCTCATAAATCATGAGCTTTGGCATTTTCTTAGATCCTGCCTAAAGTCTGAAAATATTTGCTTACCACGACTTCAGGCATGTAGAATTCATTTATGATGACTTCGAATTGATTGTTTTCACCAAGCTTAGATCTGCTCGGGTAGAAGATCAAGAAGTCAATATCAGAAAGGGAAAACCTAGTATTTCTCAAGTACATCAAGCATATCTTCGGGTATATTATTGTGATGTTTCTAGCATCTTTCTGGAAGTCATACCTGTCTGAATAGTACTCCTGCGTATCACATCCTAGCTTTCGTAGAAAATATTCATTGATACGGGCTCTGATTCCCAAGATGTCTGCCTTCTCATGCACCACGAATAAGATTGAGAGGCTAGAGGAAGTTTAGAAACTCATTTTTATCAAAAAAAGCTAATATTTTCTGGTTTACATGAAGGAGACTAAGCTAATAATTTGCTCTAATTTCATACTTTAAAATCATGTAAATCTAATCTTCTAACTATGATTTTGATGTATCGACTCCAGATTTTGTGATAAAATATCCAAAAAATAAGCCACGATAAAAATTTATTTAACCACTGCAAAAAGCTGTATCTTACTCTCCGAAGGATTGCTTCTTTGACCCAGCTTCTTTGATCAACCTCTCTGCGTAATCAATCGATATTTCATCGTTCTTCAGATGAGTAAACTGGTTAGTCTTCCTAAATGAGAAATCAGACTCTGTCAGAATTATTCTTACTTCAGTAGAGTGGTAATAAAGCTCCTGATCAGCAAACTAAAGAGTTTTTAGATCTGACTTACTCTTTTTCGATCCTATAGATTAGCTAATAAAATTACTGTCTTTTCTGGTAGTCAAAATGTTGGATATCATCGTTTTCCAGCATTCTCTTGTCTTCATATTTCGTTTTTGAAACCAACATCTCTGCAATATCAAGACTGGCCTATGACCAATGTCAGGAAATCTACTGAAAATCGATGGAATGTTGATAAGCCAAGAAAATAATACTTTAAAGCAGAAATAAATATTTTCTAGAAATCATCAGGTTTTGATTTCCAAATTTCCCGATTTTTTCCCCTTCTTGGGGCTAAAAGTTTCGATTTATATAAAAAGCTGAGAAGTCAATTAATGTTCAGGTCAAGCATGAATTAAGACCTAAGTGATAAATTTGGCATACATCAGAGATTGTAGTATCGATTAGTTCAAATCTTTTGCCTTCATCAGACTCTATAAACCATTATCTCTGCTAAAGAGGCTTCATACTATTGTCAATATCTTCTTCATTCTGAGGTGGAGGATACTCTTCGTTATTGTATTTCATTCTCAGCTTTCCTATGACGTTAGAATATTCAGGGATTACCTATCTCCCCTAGATAGAGCATATGGGATAAGAACCCTTTATTCCTAGCAGTAGTAGTGGGCATTTAAGTCGTGTCCTTTTAAAATTATATGTGAAATCAATTTATACTTGGATGTTGGGGTTTTGGGGTTTTGGGGTTTTGGGGTTTTGGGG